TGTCTCCTTGGCCCTTCCTCCTTGGGCTCCCCTCCCCTGCCCCCGCTGGTTGTATTCAGTTCCCAGTGGCGGGTGTCTGTCACCTCCCAACCACCCCCTGACCCAGCCTGTGCCAGATTCCTGAGACACTCTAGGTTCTGTGCTGAGTTTTACAAATATCATGCATTTTAATCCTCAAAACAGTCCTATAGGGTAAGTACCGTTCCCATCCCCTCAACACACCGCGCACGCCGTAGCCTCAGGGCCTTTGCATTGCCTGTTACCGCTGCCTCCGTAACTCCTCTGGATCTTCACGTAATGCTCCTTCGGTCTCTGCTTAGATGTCACCTTGGCCTTGAGACCTTGCCTGACCACACTCTTTGAAAGAGCTCCCTCATGCTCACACTCTTCACCTGCCTTTCCCTTCATTTTTCTTCCTAATGCTTATACCATCTGACATATATTTTATTTATTTGTCGACGGTCTCTCCAGGAGAATGTAAGGTCTAAGGGGCAGGAGTGTTTGTTTTGTCTCCCGCTGGTCCCCAGCACCCAGACAGAACAGTGTCTGGCACATAGTAGGTACTCAACTTTCCATTTTTAGGAACAAAGATCCCGAGGCTCAGAGAGGTTAAGAAACTCAGCCAAGGTCTCTCAGGCAGTAAGTAATGGAGCCCAACTTGCACCTGGGAGTGTGTGGCTTTATATTTCCATCAAGGACAGTCCTAGGATGTGCTTGGTGAAGGAGGCTGGTTCCTTCCAGGGCTGGCCCACTAGCTGAAACACCTGTGTCTCTGACTTGCACCTGGGAGTGTGTGGCTCTATATTTCCATCAAGAACAGTCCTAGGATGTGCTTGGTGAAGAAGGCTGGTGACAGGGCTGGCCCACTAGCTGAAACACCTGTGTCTCTGGGGGCAGGTACAGCCAACAGGATACAGCCAACCAATGTGAGGCGCCCAAGGAGAAGCCCTCCTGCACAGAGACTGAGCACCTCCTGTCCAGGGTGGTGAGGCCCTCGTGCACCCACCCCCTCCCAGCAGACAGGAGAGGAGCTGCTGCTGGCCCAGCCAGTTCACAGGAGCGGTTTTCCAGCTGGGCGGTTTTGACTCCGGCAGAATCCATGCCCCGGGTCCTCAGGCAGTGGGATGAACTGACGGCTTCGGCTGTGGGAACCAGGGCAAGTCACTTCTCCCTAGGCCTTAGTTTCTTATCTGTAAAACAGCAGAAAGTGAGTTGAACTGGGTGACCTTTTGAGTCCCTTTCACTTCTGAAAAATGAGAATTTTGTGATGTTTTTGGCCCCAGGTCGACTCATCTTCAGAAGCTGCGCACAGGGTCCTGGCGGCGCCCCCGCCTCCTTGGCTCTGTCACCATTTACTGAGCACTTGCTGTGTGCCAGGCACTCGCCACACCAAAGCTCATTCAACCCCACGGTAGCATTACTAGGTGGGTGGTAGTGCCGGTCCCACCTTGTAGAGAGGGAACATGTACAAAGTGCACCATTTACCTGGTCGAGGGGCAGGCTCAGGGCGAGCACCCCAGGCAGTCGGACCCCGGGGCTGCTTAGCTGTCCTTCACCCTTCATCTGGGCTCCCCTAGGGGCCCAGCAGTCCTGATTGGCGGGGGCCGGTGGTAAGGAGGCTCCAATGACCCTGCCAACTGTGTGGGATGGTCCGGTGCAGGCAGAGCAGGAGGCTCGAGCACATGAAGCCTTAGCCTTGACCTCTAACTACGGTGGTGTTGCTGCTGCCTCCTCCTCCCTAGGCCCTTTTTTTTCTTTTTCTTTTTTCTTTGTTTTGGTCCCAGGAAGCCCCCCAATCAAGAGTGTGAGAAAGAAAGCAGTGTTGCTGCCTCCGGAGGGGTCAGCCTGGTGAAAGGCCCTCATCACAAGCAGGGCCGCCACTTACAAAATAATTCTCTTTGGAGAGTAACTTATGGGAGAAAGGAATCATTTGGGCCCTGAAGGGGATCTGGAATCGCAGGACCCACCTAGGGCAATGTGCCAGAGCCCAGGTCCCTGCCTCTGTCACAGCTCAGCCTCAGGTCTGCCTGTCTCCTCGAGAGGTGAGGGCTTTCCAGGGCCTGCCTGGCACCTGCTGCCAGCCCTAGAGAGGTTGCAGGGGAAACTGGGGCCCCACCAAGATTTCATCAAGGAAGAGTAGATTGTCCCTTCTCATCTGTTTAGAGGGCCAAGTGGGAAGAACTCTGAGCTGAGAGCCAGGACGGCTGGCCTCAGCTTGATCCTGAGCGAGCCTTCTGCCCTCTCTTGTGCCCCTGTTGCCCCCGAGAAACGGGCACATGTGGCTACTCTTTTACCTGTCCTCATCTTCTGAGAGGGTAGAGATGAGGGGTAGAAAGGAAGTCAGTAGAAAGGACTGGAACAGATCTATGTTTAAAAAAAAGCAAGAATGAGTGAACACTGCAAGAATTCAGGGGCTCGTTCTCCAGTGCAGGAGGGGGTGCTTTGCACCCACTGGGCTTGCCGCAGAGGACCCGTGGCCCTTAGACAGGCTCCTTGGCCCTTTGGGTGAGAACGGCCCGGGCCACACGGTCCCCCCGCCCCTTCCCCCTCTCTGTGCCCTCTGCTCAGCCCCTTGGCGGCTCTTCCTGAACTTGTTTTTCCAAGTCGCTCATTAACTTTGAGCTCTGCTCCCAGATGGGCCAAGTCTCCTGGCTAACTTTTCCTTGGAGAGAGCAAGCTTATGCTTCCCATGCTTCCTGACAGAGCTAGGATGTGCTGTCCCCACCCATTACCCCACCCCCCTCTGCTTCTGGGGGGAGGGGTGACACCAGGACTCTGGACTCGCAGTGTCACCATGGTCACTGGACAGGTGCCTCCACCAGCAAATCTCCGGATAGCCACGGACAGCCCATAGGCTAGAGCCATCTGCCTCATGCCTACATCAGCCTGTATTGCCTTGACAGCCTGTTTCTCAGAGAAAGAAAAACGAGGCCAGAAAAGGAACTTGAAATTTACCTTCATGGAGAAGAAGCAGGCAAAGGAGGAGAAACTCCAGGCAAAGTTCTAAGCGGGGAAAGTATGTCTGGTCTGCTACTCTTCTTCTTCCATGTTCTCTCTGATTAGCTCCTTCAAGTTCAAGTGTAAATAAGACATCTTAGTGTGTGACGGATGTCTGTCCTAAGCCACAGGGTGAAACAGTAGTCATCAGGCAGCTGGTTGGGAGCAGTATTGACAATTCAGAGAAGACTTTCCCAGGCCTCTGAATTGACCCTGCCCTGGAGGTGGTGAAAACTGGTGTGAAGAGACGATACAGCCTCCGAAGTTAAAGCAGTGCTGAGGTCAAATCTGTTTCCCACCCTCCTAGGCTGTGTGACCTTAGGCAGGTATACGACCTCTCTGATCCTCCATTCCTCCTTTGTAAAATGGTACAGTGAGGCCTACCTCACAGAGTCGCTGGGAGGACTGAAGGCACTCACATACACAGAGCGTCCAGCTGTGCCAGGCACAGAATAGACAGCTGGCGAATGTTCATTCCCAAAGGTCCCTCCTCAGACTTGCTCCTGCTCCAGAAGCCCCGGAGGTGCTGCTTTTTGCTGCATTTTCCCAGCTCTCTGTATGCCCCATTGTTGTTGTGCGGCACTAAGAATAAGACGTGCTCCTCCCCTCCCAGCGCAGGAGGAAAGCATCTCTGAGAGACATCATTAGACGGGTGGAGCAGGCATGGGGGTTGCCAAGTGGTCGTGGGGCCACGGTCCTCCCTCACCTATCTATTCAGGCTCAGCCTTCTGCTCAGGAAGGAAGTGGACCCCCAACCCATCAAGCAGGACAGGCAGCAGGACAGGCAGCAGCATGGGGCAGGGACCCCAGCAACGGGGACCCTGACAGTGGTGAATGGCATCACATGAATAACAGATGAAGTCTCCGTAATTGGTGTTATTACACATGCATTTCATCTCCATTCATAATGATCGGACACTTAAACCCAGCCGTTTCTCTGCCAAGCGCCGCTGTCATCATTCTAGCCGAGATCCCAGCAGCTGTCTGGACCGGCCGCTGCCACATTCCGATCCTAAGGGGTGCAGTTTATTTTCCTTTGGAGCTCAGTGTCACAGGCAATGTCACTGTTTGGGAAAGGGAGGGGTGGTTATTCTGGGCAGACCACCCCGTCTCCTGCCATGGAGCATGTCGTCTTCCTTCAGGTACTGTTCACTGTCTGGGTGGTCGGCTGGGACATCCTAAGGTGATCGGCAAGAACGAGGGGTATGGACTTGGGGCTTGAGGAGGTGGGTCATGGCTGGAGCTTAACAGGCTCAGCTGGCAGAAAGAGGTCCAGGGTCATTCCCTCCGGCCCCTGCCTCGGGGTGTATCTCTCTCAATGCAGTGGACCTCAAAATTTAGTGTGCGTCGTAATTACCTGGAAAGTTTGTTAAAACAGATTGCAGGGCCCTCCCAGCAGCATTTCGCATTCAGGAGGTTTGGATGGGGCCCAAGAATTTGTATTTCTAACTAGTTCCCGGAGGATGCTCTCTGCTGGTGGTCCAGGGCCTCACTATAAGGACACCTCCTTAAAGCCTGCTTACTCCCAGCGTGGTCTGTGGACAAGCAGCCAGACCTGACAGCTTGTTAGCAATGCAGAATCACAGGTCCTACCCTCGACCTCCTGAGTCAGAATGGCATTCTTTGACAAGATTCCCCAGTGATTTATACACCCGTGACAGTTTGCGAAGCCTTTTAAAGCATGGCTGGGTTAGAGATGAGCAGAGCTAGGCAGTCAGCAGGGCTGGCCAGCTATAGTTCAGTTGCTTCCAGCTAAGAGCGGCCTCTAACTTCCATGCACCGTGACAAAGATTGGGAAGTATTGCCTTAAAGCACCCAAGGAGATGGATAAAGACCTTGTGAGGAGGGAATTCTAGCCCCTGACCAGGTACTTTAATTCTACCTGTCACCATTAAACTGACTGCCTGGTGACCCATGCCCCCACCCACCCTCTACAAGTAGAGGTCCCCGTCCCCTCTGGGCCCACCCACCCCAGTCTGACAGCCCCCACTCTCCACCCACAGGTGGTGGCCTTCGCCTCTCTCTTCTTCATCCTGGTGTCTATCACCACCTTCTGCCTGGAGACCCACGAGGCCTTCAACATCGACCGCAACGTGACAGAGGTCCACCGAGTGGGGAACACCACCAGCGTACGCTTCCGGCGGGAGGTGGAGACGGAGCCCATCCTGACCTACATAGAGGGTGTCTGCGTACTCTGGTTCACGCTGGAGTTCCTGGTGCGCATCGCGTGCTGCCCGGACACGCTGGACTTCGTCAAGAACCTGCTCAACATCATCGACTTCGTGGCCATCCTGCCCTTCTACCTGGAGGTCGGGCTGAGCGGGCTGTCGTCCAAGGCGGCTCGCGACGTGCTGGGCTTCCTGCGGGTCGTCCGCTTCGTGCGCATCCTGCGCATCTTCAAGCTCACGCGGCACTTCGTGGGGCTGCGCGTGCTTGGCCACACCCTGCGCGCCAGCACCAACGAGTTCCTGCTGCTCATCATCTTCCTGGCCCTGGGCGTGCTCATCTTCGCCACCATGATCTACTACGCTGAGCGCATTGGCGCCAGGCCCTCCGACCCACGGGGCAATGACCACACCGACTTCAAGAACATCCCCATCGGCTTCTGGTGGGCCGTGGTCACTATGACGACTCTGGGCTATGGGGACATGTACCCCAAGACGTGGTCAGGCATGCTGGTGGGGGCGCTGTGTGCACTGGCCGGCGTGCTCACCATCGCCATGCCTGTGCCCGTCATTGTCAACAACTTCGGCATGTACTACTCCCTGGCCATGGCCAAGCAGAAGCTGCCCAAGAAACGGAAGAAGCACGTGCCACGGCCCCCCCAGCTCGAGTCCCCCATGTACTGCAAGTCCGAGGAGACATCGCCCCGGGATAGCACCTACAGCGATACCAGCCCCCCTGCCCAGGAAGAGGGTGTGGTCGAGAGGAAACGAGCAGGTGAGACCTGACTTTGGGAAGGAAAACCCCCTCTCCCCCAGTGGCCGAGGGAGTCCCCAGGTGATCCTCAACCCTTGGAATTTGGGACATCGACTTCGTGGGCATCCTGCCCTTCTACCTGGAGGTCGGGCTGAGCGGGCTGTCGTCCAAGGCGGCTCGCGACGTGCTGGGCTTCCTGCGGGTCGTCCGCTTCGTGCGCATCCTGCGCATCTTCAAGCTCACGCGGCACTTCGTGGGGCTGCGCGTGCTTGGCCACACCCTGCGCGCCAGCACCAACGAGTTCCTGCTGCTCATCATCTTCCTGGCCCTGGGCGTGCTCATCTTCGCCACCATGATCTACTACGCTGAGCGCATTGGCGCCAGGCCCTCCGACCCACGGGGCAATGACCACACCGACTTCAAGAACATCCCCATCGGCTTCTGGTGGGCCGTGGTCACTATGACGACGCTGGGCTATGGGGACATGTACCCCAAGACGTGGTCAGGCATGCTGGTGGGGGCGCTGTGTGCACTGGCCGGCGTGCTCACCATCGCCATGCCTGTGCCCGTCATTGTCAACAACTTCGGCATGTACTACTCCCTGGCCATGGCCAAGCAGAAGCTGCCCAAGAAACGGAAGAAGCACGTGCCACGGCCCCCCCAGCTCGAGTCCCCCATGTACTGCAAGTCCGAGGAGACATCGCCCCGGGATAGCACCTACAGCGATACCAGCCCCCCTGCCCAGGAAGAGGGTGTGGTCGAGAGGAAACGAGCAGGTGAGACCTGACTTTGGGAAGGAAAACCCCCTCTCCCCCAGTGGCCGAGGGAGTCCCCAGGTGATCCTCAACCCTTGGAATTTGGGATTGTGCTTTACTGTTCTGGGCTCCAGGTCCATAGGACGGCAAAGCACTGAGGCCAACTCTTTTCTATCCTTCTCTGAGTGCATCCTGAACATCGGGGTCTGTGGAGTGAGTGTCCCACTGAACTTACGCTACAACAGGCATAGTACATGGGGCTGTAAATTAGAAGCCCGGGTTACTAATCCCATCCTGGCCACCCTTCTGCGTGTCCCGAGGCCAGTCACTCATCCTCTCTCAGCACAGATTCCTCACCGGTAAGATTGGAGTGATATCAGTATGCCACCCCCAAGACGTTGATGAGACCCAAATGAATGACATCTAAAAACCCTCTGAGAAGTTTAAACCATGTTACAAATATCAGGCACTGTCATTAGCCGGAGAGCAGGGCAGCTGTTCTTCCAGGGCGCATCAACACATGAATCATTTCTCTCCCAACGTTCGAGTCTGCTGTCTCTTGGCCTAATAAATGTGATAACGTAACAGCAGTAGGAGGCTGCCTGCTGTTCGGTGAAGCTAGATTGAGTCCTGGGCTCCGGGTTTAATGTGGGAACTGAGAGGCAGTGGCCCAGACAGTGCTGGGAAAGAGGAAGGTGGCAGCAACTGGTGTCTGCATCCTGGAAGGGGGCCCGAGGGTCTGAACCATGCTCTTCAAGGATGGGAAAGGCCACCCCAGGAAAACTTGCCTCTTCCTAAGTCAGGAGACAGGAAAGGAGGTTGGCTTAACCCTCAGCGATGTGTCGTTAGGTCAGAGAGCGGAAACCTAACTGCTGGGTACGGGATAGGCTCTTGAGGGAGGTAAAGGATTCCAAGTATGGGGGTGCTGTTGGGTGCCAGGCCATCAGGGAGCTGGGAGTGGACCAGCACACTGAGGTAGCAGCTCCTGGCTAGGCTCTGGGGGCAAAGTGGGAATCACCCTTCAGGTGAGGTACCTGACTTAAGACACTTACCTGTTGGTAGGTGCCCATCATACATGCTAGACCACTCATTGCCTAGGGTCATTCAGGGGCCTGGGTCTCCCAAAGACCTTGATAGAACAACACCCATCAGGCTTGCTCTGTCCCTCCAAAGTGGTACTTGCCTTCGCAGTCCCTGAATATAAATCTCTGAGCCAGGGCCTCAGAGAATTTCAGCTGTACCTGAGGCCCATTCAGAGCTCAGAGGGAGACCTAGCATCAAATACGTGAGTCCCTAGGCCAGCTCCTCAGCACACACTTACCCATGGTCCTGTAAGCCATGCCTCAGCCTGACCCTCACTGCTTGGCCATGGTTAAGGGCATTACTGGCCAATGCTGAGGCTCCTGCCTTCACACCGAGCAGCCCCCCTTCTCCAGATCCTGGGGTCCAACCTCATCTGGGCTGCTGCCTGCTGGAGCAGGGGCTTGTGGCTAAGAGCCCACAGCAGTGGGAGCTGAATCGGAGCTTCTTTCCCCCAGCCCCATTTCCCCCAAGACACAAGCGAGCCCCAAGAGAGAGGGCTCTCAATACTGTGGGTGCTCGACTCCAGCTTGGTCAGCTGGTGAACGTGAATAACTGCCTTCAGGTGGTCCAGGAAGGTAGCCGTGGAAGCCACTCTATCGTTGTAACCCCGGCAATGCTGCACCTCATCCCAATAAGCCAGGTGTTCTCTGAGGGAATGTAGACTCATCAGTGTCAGCCTGAGCCAGACCCAAGGAGGGAGCAGATTCTGCTGTCTTCCCGGGGCTGATCTCATGGGGGGCAGCCTGCAGCAGACCTGGGGAGTCTTAGGGCACCTGTGGCCCCATCTCCCAGGAAAGACTCTAGGCCAAGCTGGGAGGTAAGCCAGCATCCTGCCCCTGCCCCCAGGACCAGGCCCCCTTTCTGGCTCGGGTGACACGCTCGCTTCTCGGGTTGGGGAAGTGACACTTTAGAAGGTCTGGGATTTGACAGACCACAGGTGACCCTGTGAGGAAGGCTTGAGTAGCCCTCACGCAGCCTCCTGTCTGTCTGTCCCCTTTAGATTCCAAGCAGAACGGCGATGCCAATGCGGTGCTGTCAGATGAGGAGGAGGGAGCAGGCCTCACCCAGCCCCTGGCCTCCGCCCCGATCCCCGAGGAGCGCAGGGCCCTGCGACGCGCTGGCACTCGAGACAGAAACAAGAAGGCAGCTGCCTGCTTCCTGCTCAGCGCTGGGGACTATGCCTGTGCGGATGGTAGTGTCCGGAAAGGTATGGCTCCCCAGGCCGGGCAGGTGGGGAGCCCCCGTGGAGCTGAGTCTCCCCAGTGTCCCCCACAAGCCATGAGGTCTCCTCCTCCCTTGAGGCCATGGCCCCCATCTCCTCTGCCTTGGATGCGTCCCCATTTTTAGAATGAGTGCCCTGGTCTCCCAGTCCCTGGATTTTCTTACAAAGGCTTGTAGAAGGTACAGAGGGTCCCCTCCCCCACCCCCAGGTGCCACAGGGAAGACAAGCGTTGAGGGTCAGGGGACTCGGGACCAGGGCTCGTACCACTCCCTTCCATTTTGTCGCCTTTTCTTGCTCTGGACCCTGCTGCGACCTTCAGGCCTGGCTCCCCAGAGTGAGTCACTGCCTGCCTGTCCCTCAGCCTCCCTTAAATACAGCTAAGGCTTTCCCAAGTAAGTGGTCCCAGGAGATGCCACCAACACTCGGGAGTCAGGGTGAGAATGGGGTGCTGGCGTGCAGTCTGCAGGGAGCCTGGCACAGGACCACCTCCTCCATCCTACCTGGAGCTCCGAAGGGGCTGACCCATCTCCGCAAACCCCTGGAATGCGACTTCAGTAGAGCCAGAGGATGATCCGGGGTGGGGTGGGCAATGGGGCAGTGAGATGGTTCCCCTCCGAGGTGGGTTCTGACGGATTTGGAGGGTGCAGGGGGCAGCCCGTTGCCTGTTGTCAGGGAAGGCTGCCCAGGCCAGGGCAGAGTGGATGGTAGAGCTAGGGTTCCGGCCTGAAGACGGGGCAGGAATGATCACGGACGGCTGGGTACCAGGGATCTCAAGGCCAGATGCTCCTTCTGCCCAGTTCCTGATTACTTTTTTTGTCTTTCTTGCCCTGTCTTGTGACCTGACCTTCCTAAACACCTTGCGTAGTTCCACGATCAGTCCTGACTTCTCCCAAAACAAAGTTCTGCTCTGGTTCTTAGGCCACTTAGCCCAGTTCCCCCGCTACTTCCCACTGTCCCCAAACCCCAGACTAAGTAAGATAGGGGTGAGTGAGGCAGGGCCAGTGGCTGCTGCAGGAATAGCCTGTGATGCTTCTGTCACACGAAGGCTGTCCCCTGGCCCTCCCAGCCCATGTGGCCTCCAAAGCCACCCTCCCGGGCCCTTTCTCTGGTTTGCCCCGTATCACTGTTCCCATGGGATCCCCAGGGCACCCTGACCCTACCCAACCTCTGAGAGGTGTGTGTGAGCTTTGCTGGGCACATGTCCTGTTGGGTGACGGAAGCAGGAGCTGCGATCTGGCAGCTGCAAGGAGGTGGCCCAGAGGCCCCAGCTAAAGTGCTCTAGGCAGATGTGTTCAAACTGCAAACCCTCTCCTGTGTCCCTCTGGTCACTCCCGGCCTCTGTGGGCCCCAATCCTCGTGCTCTGGAAGTGTCTTATCTCTCCCGCTCCTCGTTCCAAACATAAAGTGGCTTCTACTGTGTCCTGGTTCAGGCCCGGAGCCCTGCTCTGGCTGAGCAGGCTAAGTGGGTGGCCCAGAGTGTGGGACAGAGGAAGCCTTACCCCTCATGCAGGACTCAAGCACCCCCGCGTTCATCTCAGGGTATGAAGGGCTCAGTGGAAGTAGCGAAGTGGAAGAGGCTGTGAGGGTACGCATCAGAGGGACCATGAGGTGTGGGGAGTGGATGACCCCTGGGGACAGTTTGCACACATGGGTGCATGGGGCCTGCGTCCCGCCACCATATCTCTCTGGGTGTCCATGGGGCCCGGCGGCTCTATTTTCAAGATGCCTCCACACTGCCTCTTGGCAACAAGCGTGTAGCTCAGCCAATTAGAGTGACCTTCGAGAAGGAACAGGTGGGTTGCTGGGAAACAGGCCCTGCTAAGCGAGCGCGGCAATTAGCATCGCCAAACTCCCAGTGCGCACTCACACTCGGCGACTTTCCCCGTGCCAGACGCCGCCACACTCCTTCTCTGCACTCAAGGCTGCATTTAGGACCAGGAGCAAGTGGCCCAGGCCTCCTCCAGCCACCGGCGCAGACCCCATCCTTAGCCCCTGGTTTCCCATGCGTCCGAGTGAGAGCTTCTTGGGAAGAAGGTGGCAGTTGTTAGTTAAGGCTTCTTAGGGTCAAGAAAGCAGAGTGCCGGGGGGTGGCTTATCTGGGGACAGCAACAGAGCAAAGGTGAGCTGGGTATGGGCCGCTAGAGTCCATCCTCAGGAGCCCAAGTGACCCAGAGACCAGGGAAAGTCACGGAGCCTTTCCCGACTGGGCCAGACCCCTTCATCGAGCCCAGGGCTGCCTGCCCCGGAGGGCCCTCTGGAACATGGATGCCACGGAGCTGCTCAGGCGGGGAGAGCACCCCTCTGACCCCTGTGCCTTTTCTTCACCAAGGCTGTGAAAAGTCCCGGAGTCTAAACAACATAGCCGGAGCAGCTGGAACCAGTCTGGGGCTGTCTCCACTGGCGTCTCGATTCAGCTCGCCCTACCCTCCGAGAAAGCTCCTGCTCGCCCACCCCTTCCACACCCTCGCCAGCCCACCACCCGGACACTCAGCCCCATAGCTGCCCCCTCGGCTCTCCCGCCTCTGGGCACAGAGGCGCACACGCACACACACGTACGCACATGCACATACGCACACGCACGCACACGCACAAGCAGGCACACTCATGCCCGCCAGCCCTCATCCCTCCTGGAGCCTGAGGGAGCCAGGCAGGGTACAGAATTCAGTCCTCCGAGCCTCTCTTCCACAGCCCCCAGCTCCCCAAAACGCTCAGGTCTGCGGCCTGACGGCAGGGGCAGACCACTCCCAGGGTCCCTCATCCTGAGCTGGAGGCGCCACCACTCGCAGGACCCTTGTCCCTGGGCCCTGCCTCTGCCTCAGGGCCCTCATCTCAGTCGCGGCAAATGCATTTCCGTTCCTCTTGGCCTTCGACCAGTAACCAAACAGCCTGCAACCGAATGTCTCTGTCTGTCTGTCTATCCCACACCCAGACCAGCAAGGAATAGGTCGTCCCGCGGGGCATCTCTGCTGGTGTCCGGGAGCTCGTCTCCTCAGGGGAGCAAAGCCGCCCTGGGAGAAGAGGCCTGATATTCTCCAGCTCTGGCCTGGGGTGCAGGTGGGGGCCCCTAGAGTCTGAGCCCCAGGAGTGCCTGCCTAGGTGCAGGGATGCCCTCCTCTCTGGGGTGACTCCCCGCAGTGGAGTTCGGCGTCCCATCTGCACCCCAAGCCCGGCACCTGTCGCCACGCTGCTTCCTCTGCTTCCACGACAGCTTTTCCTCCCTCTCGGGCTCCCTCACACTGCCGGCCCAGCCTCTGAGTCACCTGCCGCTCCCACCCAGCCTCTGCGCGCTGTATCGCTGCCAGAACCCGAGACTCATCTAATTTCTATAATTAAGTGTATTCATTTACCTAACGAGCCGGGAGCACAACAGGTTTATGAGTCATTGTGTGAGCAGGGGTACACCCTGGGCAGGGGCACACCTTGGGCAGGGACAGCTGAGGGGAAGTGTTGGGGACAGAGCCACCCTGCCCCCCTCCCAGTCCCGCAGGGGGCCTTGCCACTCCCAGGGAGGGCCCAGCTGTAAGGGGCCCCTCCCCCAGTGGTACACAGAACCAGGCTCTCTAGGCTCTCCTCAGCCCTGGGACCCTGGGACGCCTCAGCCAACTCATTTCCTGTTTCACCTGATGGGATGAGACCTGACAGCAGAGCCATGCGCCTGGCAATTTTTAGAGTCAGATTATGCAACTTTGTAGGGGGAATGACTAAGTAAGGGCCATGTCTGCTCCTAACAGGCCGGGCACATTTAGGTATACAAGACATGATTATGGGAAGCTGGGAAATCGGGGTGCCACCCTGAAAGATGAACGGGGCAGAGAGGTCAGAGCATTTCATGGAGTGCCTGGACAATCCGGATTTCAGTGCTTCCTTCAGCCTTCCGTAGTCCCTTCCACAAAGGTCTTCGCCAGGCGGGTACTAGGTCAGCCCAGCCCCGCTGTGGCCTGCCTCCTGCTGTCTCTCAGGATGCAGCATCTCCTTCAGCGCTGAGAAGATACAGGGACATCCATGCGCCCGCCCTTCAGAAGGGGACAGGTCCCTTTAAAGAACAGGGACGGGAAAGCGCTGATGGAGAGCCACGCCCTTCCACGCACAGCTGGGTGAGGGCCCAGCCGCCCCTTCGCAGGGACAGATTTGGTCCTGGCCCTGCAAGGCCGGGGTCTTTGCTCTGAGGGGGACACGATGAGCTAGGTGTCCGGTTTGGAGCGGGCACCACAGCTATTTTCTCCTCCGACTTGTCTTTCTGGTTCAGGGAGCTGAGGCGGTTATTTCTGTGGCAGCCCTCAAGTTGTCAGGAGCCCAAGTTTCCACGGCACCCACCGCCTCCTTACCTCTCTTCCCTCCCACAGGGATGGGCATGCTCACGGCACCCCTGTGGTGGGCACAGATGTCCCTGGGCGACATGATACAGTAGTGCCAGGCTGGAGCCCCTAGTGCCTTAGGAGATGGGCTCCCACCAGTCCCTCCTGGCTCCTGGGCTTCTGTGGGGGAGACACGGGACCTAGGTAGGCTGTCTGCCCCGCTAGCCCTCAGGACCTTGGCTTCTCAGGTCTTGGGAAAGGGCAAAGCGAGTCTGGAGTTTACAGACCCCGGCCTCTGCTGGGAGGAGTAACTGCCTGCTTGGGCCTCAGGCTCGCCCAGGCCTTGGCCTCCCTTCTTGGGGGAAGGCTCCCCACAACCCCCAATCTGAGAACACAGTCTGCTTCACCTTGGATTCTGGCTTGGACCCGTACCCGTTACTGTGGCCTCTGGGAGCCTTTCCTCTTTAGTGGGAGCCCTGCGTCTCCCAGCAGAGCAGAGGAGCAGCCCAGTGATTGTTAACCTTACCTTCCAGTTTGTACCAGGGCTACTGACAACCTTAGAGGCTACTTCTCAACCCCGAGAGCTTCTGGGAGGAGTGGCTGTGAGTTAGAACCAGAGGGGAAGGTGCTTGTTTGGCCTAGAGCCTGGGCTACATGGGAGTCGGAGGGGCAGTCAGGGCGGGGGAGGCTGCATGCAGGCCAAGGGCTGCCGCTGGCCTTTCACAGAAGAGCATCACCCTCCAAAGTCCCGGCCCCCATGGCAGCCTCCCTGTCTGCCCCACCTGTGCCTGCTCTGGGAAGGTAGGGGAAGGGAAGGCCCAGGCCCCTGGCAGCCCAGGCTGGGGCGGGATGCCCGGAGGGCTCAATGGGGGTTGGGCCTCTCAGTGAGATATTTTCTGGCCTTCTCTCCTGAGATTGCCACTTTCATCCTCCCTGACCTTCCCCTTCAGCATTCACCCTTCAGCCACTGGGACTCTGTTCCTGCCAGATTGTGGAACGGGGGCTGGGTACGCCATGGCAGCATTCTTGGGAGCCATCTTCAGCCCCTGGAATAATGGAAGAGCCCCAGGTGGTGGTGGCAGATGGAGCTATTCTGGGGTGGAGCCCAGCATGGGCAGGCAGCAGCCCACAGGATGGCCTGTGGGTTATAGGCCAATCGGTAGCTTTCCCCAGTGCCTCCATGCCAGGCTGCAGAACTGAGGTCTCTCTCCGCACTGCACTGGAGCTTTGAAAACCTGAGAGCTAGTGGTTCCTGGGGATCATTACCCGAGCAGATACGGAGATGAGCTGTAACATCATCCGTGAGTCACCATGGCCCAGAGCTGGGTCGGCAGAGAGGTGATGAAGGGACTCATCTCACACCCTGACCTGTCCCTGCTCTTCCTGGCCTCTTAGCCCTGGGTCCCCACGCCTTCCAGCTCTGCTCCTGGCCTGCTCTCCAGCCCGCAGCCTGTGGGTCGGCAGCTGCTTTCCTTCTAACATCTCATTCTTTGTTTCTCCCTTTCTTTTGCTGAACTCCTTGCCCCCCCCAGAAGGCAATGTTGAGCCGAAAGCGTGCGTCCCAGTGTCTCACACCTGTGCTCTTTAAACACAGAGACCTGCCAAGACGCCCTCTCGTCCAACTATGCCCAGGCCGAAGTCCTCACCCTCTCTTAAAGCGGCACCAACGTGAGAGAGACAGGCAGACAGACAGAAAGCCAGAGGCTTAGGGAAACTGGAACCCAGGCAAGAATCTTTCACTGGGAAAGACTCAGATATCCTTGTTTGCACAAGACTGATGGAAAACCTCCCGTGTGACCCTCGGGGCGCGGAGCCATCCGGGTCTGACGTTCTGTTCTGTTGTAAATTGAAGAGCTATATATGCACATATAGTATCTATATTCATACATACTATACTCTTGTGTGTAGTGCACGTGCTACTGATGGTCCGTCTTCTTTGTTAGGCTTTGTCTCCCCAAACCCTTGCCCCTCCCCCCAACCCCCATTCCCTTCCCTTCACCAATTCCTTGTTTCTGCTGAACACGCCTGTGGAATGTCCCAGGAAAAGTGCACTTGGGAACTGCTAGTCCAGCTGGGTGGTCCCAGGCTAGACTCTCCCTCTTGGGAGTGTTTCCCCTGTGGGCTGGTGGCCTGTGGAAGGCCAGATTGTCCCCCCCCAGGGTCACTGCTCCACTGGCCGCATCCCACCCCAGACTGGGGTTCTACCTCCCACCCCACGCCCCAGTTGTGGGGGAACTTCCAGGGGCTTCTCTGCAGCTTCTTCCACTCCTCCCCCGCCTTACCTGGGTCCTTGACTGAGGGGGTGGTTTGTCTTTTTTTATTTTTGTTTTTTTTCTGTCTCTTTTGTCCGTTTGTTTTCAAAGATGCTGCTGGGCAGACGGGCAGGGAAGGGGTCTGTCTGCCCATCTGGCTCAGGGGTCCGAGAAGGGGATGCCTCGGGCGAGCGGAGACCAGTTGCAATACTGTACTTCCTGGCTGGTGGCCAGAGGTTGTGTGCAATAGCAGAGGCCAGGTGACCCCTTCGACCTTGGCCTCTGCCCCTCCCTCAGCCCTCCCTCCCCACTCCCACCCCACCCCGCCCCTACCTGGTGTTGGTCAGTCCTTTTCTAAAGCTGTCCCCACCTGTGTGTCTGAGGCAAGCCTAGGCCGGGGCCTTGCAGCCCCGTCTGCATGCCTTCGACTGTCATGCTGTGCTCCACCCTCAATAAAGACATCGGGAGCACCCTGCTGCTCCTCTGTGTGAATGGCTGCTTCCGGCTCTCCTTTCTGGCTCTGTGTCTGTGGGGACCTCCCCGGGCTTCCACTCCAACACCTGAGAAACGCAACACCCTCCTGTCACAACCCTGCCCTCACCAGGAATCAGCCATGCAGCCCAAGCCCAGCATCTAGAGCTAGACGCCGGTGCTCAGAGAGGAAAAGCGATCTGCCCAAGGTCACATGAAGAGGGCTAACCCAGGACGCTTGACTCCCAGGCGGTGTTCTGATCTCCACCTCTGCTGCCTGACCTCCCGCCATCACATGGAAGAAAAGACTCGTTGTTGTTTGTTTCAGGAGGTCCGCCGTATTCCTGCTTGTTTGTGCAGGGGCCACCCCTCTTGAAATCGTACCGTTTCTATGTGGGCCAGAGCCCTGGGGTTGCCAAAGTCATTGTGATGACTAGATGGATGGCTGATGAACTGAGGCCGACAAAGGGCTGGTGTCACAATGGGGACCACTTCGGTCTGGGGAAAGAAC